AAAATTAGTTGCTGTATCTGTTCACCTAAAGCCTCACTTAACATAGGGAGAAGTTAAAGCTATTACAGATATTTAATAGTCTACTTTCGCTTCTTAAAAGAGCAAAAACATTAGTTTTTAAATTTAACTGTGACAACTTCAAGAGCTGCTTTAATATACTGCCTCTCTCAAAGCTTATGGCAATACTGTTCATTACCCACTTAAACTAAATTGCCCTTCAACCAGCTAATTATATAATTTCAAACTATAAATTATAGTACTCATCATTGAAGAGAAAAAGAAAATTCTCAGAAGAACAAGTTTTTAATTTAAAACAATCAGAATATCATTTGCTTTAAAAAAATCAGGTTAAGGCTACTCAAAACAGTTGAAAAGTTGCTCTATACTTAAGACATAGCACTATCTTCCTAAAAGATGCCATTCAATTTGTTCTTCCTCGTAACTGATTAGTTTCTCAGTGATAAAAGTATAAGGATTAAATGTCAAAATCTGAATCTATTATGAAATTTATGAGAGCAATATACAATAGTTTTGTTACTTGTATGCCCTTGAACATCTTAAATTATACATGTTATACCAAAAAAATGTTGCCAGTAATAACATATTTGTTTAAATCAGTCACTGATCTTAAAAAAAAAATCTTTTCAGTGATTGATAAAATGTTTTATAATCTCATGATACAGTATTTCCAAAGGATATTTACACTGAATATTGAAAAATGAACTTTTTACATCAATGAGCATAATGAAACTCCCAATATAACAAATTCCTAAAATTAAATCTAAAAAAGAGACCAAATGAATGACAGATCAAAAAATAACAGCCCAAGCAGGGAAACTTAAGTAACGCACATGCGTGGTCAGAACGGCCACACCTGGGACATCACTGATAGTAATCTTAAAACAGCAGTAATGCTGCAGTGGGATTAACAAACAAACAAACTAACAAAAAACAATTTCAGAACTGGAAGGGATCTTCAGATATTGAATCCAGAGTTTCCCAAACTAAGTTTTAAGAAGGCCTAATTCTAAGAACTATTAAATGGTGGTCAGAGAACAAAGATTTTCTAGGACCCAAACCTCACCCTACAAATTAGTATAGTAAAGGTCTGAAGCCTCATTTAAAAAAGAAAATTTCTTGATTTTAAAGCTAAAAAAAAAAAAGTTTATATGCAAATGAGTAAATGTTTTTCTTAACATATATCTCTAAACTTTTTTCTCAACTCATTAAAAATTTTACATCAGCTTTACTTTAACATCAATGTGAAAATTATTGGCATTAGATTGTCTTACAGATGAGGAAACCAAGGCCTAGTAAGTATGTGGCTTTTCTGAAGTACAAGAGCCAATTAATAGCATTCAAGGATAAAACTCAGTGTCTTGACTCACAAGTTCAAGGATCCTACTGTGTCTGTAGACTTTTTACTTGCATACAGAAATCTACTAGAACCAAACTTATCCTAGTAGGGAGAAGTTCCAATAACTGCCCATTATATAAGTATTTACATAAACATTGTTAATGTTTCATTTTCCCCTATATTTCAGATTAAATAGAACTAAACTGTTTAGAATTTTTAAAATACTACCATTTACTAGGAATTTTTCTCTATAGCTAAAGGCTAATAGAAAGAAAACATTTTTAAAAGATAAATTCTAATATAATCCTTTAATGTCAAAAGATAGTCATTTTAAAAAAAACTGGGTTATACCTTCCTCTTGGAAATAAATGAGTCATTTATATTGGAATTTTAATTAAGTCCTTAGCCATACTGAACACTCTATACTAACTTGCATTATATATCACAACATAGTTACAAAGAGATCATCAAAAAATTAATTTTTAAAAATCTCGTTTTCCCAACTCTTGAGTTCTCAATAATAAAATCACCTTAATAGCTAGTTAAAAATGTACCTTCCTAGGCCCTAGTCTGAAAGATTCTAATTCCATAGATATGGACTGGGGCCACAGGCCCCTTAACCAGCCCCATATGATTCTGGTATGTAGCAAGATTTGGAAACCATGTTGGATTACCTGTTTCATTTCCAAGTTTATGATGATGACAAAAATGCCTTCTAACTTAATATGTTATCATAATCTGAAAAAAGTTAATTTTTCACTTATTAGCTATTAGATCTAAGCAAGTTACTCTTTGCTTCAATGTCTGAATCTGTAAAATAAGATTAACCACTAATCCCTCTCAAGATGGTTGAAAAGATAAGATAAAATACATGCAAGGATGGTAACGAGCACAAAAAAAGTACATTCAATAAGCACCTCTGTTTTAAACGTATGATAATTATCCATAAAAGTTGCTTAAACACCTCATGTCCTATTAACAGCATATTCACTCCAATAAGTGTAGCTGAAAAATAATGCAACTAGAATGTTTTAATCATGCAACTAAGTACTGTTTTAAAAGTTCAATTCAATAAATATGTATTGAGCATATACTATTTGCCAGGTACATACTAGGGTTCCATAATTCCATGATTAAAACAATGACCCGACCCTCAAAAAGCTCACAGACTAGAAGACAAATAAAAATTACAATGTAACTGAAAATACAATAATAAAAGCACATACAAGGAGCATAAGCAGCAGGATGAAGCGAGTAACTGCTTCTGTTTCAAGAGGATAGAGAAGAAATAGCTAAAACAGCTTGGAAAAGGGGACAGAGTAGTTCTGCTCACAAAGACTGGGCTTAAAGCCTAGCACAACCATTTTTTAGCTATTTGCTATGGGCCAACTTAATTTACCTCTCTGAGCTTCCTTGTAACTCTACTTTGGAGAGTTATTCTGAAGATTGAAAATAATGCATGTCAAGCTCCTAACACACAGAAGGCATTCAATAAGTAGGAGTTATCTTATTTCAGAAGTGTGTGTTTGTTTTTAGTAGACTAAGTTCTAAATGGCACTGTAGGCAGCATCTCTTAACTAATGGCTAAGCTACATCACGAAGGTCACCAGCATGGAGAAGGTCATAATAAACCGCATCAGAATGTTACCACTTACAGAGTACACTTTTTAGAAGTGATGTGGTTCCTAATATGTGATACACTCAACTGCTGGTGAAGCATACTTCTAAATCTGTTTTTCTCCATTTTTACCCTGACAAACAGAATTTTGTATACTCAGACTCTGCTTCTTTCTTAGAAGAGGTTCCTATGCTCCTCAGTCCAACCTCAGTCCTAGTGTTGGGTGTTCAGCGTATCCTTCATAAAATGGCCAAGTCCAATGAGCAACTGAAGACTATATTAGGAGATAATCAGAGCTAACTCTGGATTTAAACTACTATTGTTAACCTAATGGTTGGCCAAAGGAAACTGGAAGCCACTATAATGATTTAGAATCTTAAAGTAAATATTTTAAAATGTTGTTAAATCTGGCCAAGAGGTAAGCTACTTTTACACTTACTCTGAGGTTCCCAGAGCTAATTTTTTCCAAATACCCATTGATGAGCTAAGCTAGTCATTAACAGATACAAATATATATTCTTAAATCCTTATTCTTCATTTTACTCCAATAAACATAATTGATACAACATTTTGAAATATTAACAGCGGATAAATACAAAGAAAGTCATAAGCAAGATAAAGTGGTCTATCTCAAAATTCAATTGAATTCTGAAATGGTCTTTATGTCAGTGTAGGTTTTCAGAACTAAAAACATGTTCCTGACCTGCAACCATCATGTAAGGTCAGTTTGCTCCAAGTTAAATGACCACAGATTAAAACTGAAGACACCATAAATCAATACAGAATCTCTATTAATTTTACAGTTTCCACATTCAAGGTAACCAATGTCTTTAAAGTCAACCCTGTGGTATAAAATCTCCCTATATTTTTTTCTATGAATATCTGAATTCCATATAATACCAGATTTTATAGTATCTTTGTATTATATATACACGTATGTATGTAACATAACAAGACAGGTTATATTTGTAAAATACTCATCATACTCTTAACCAGTTTGACATAATGTATTTTGAAATACTAATGTTCTATCAAAATTAGCTGTCTTATACATTTTCAAGAATTAAACCCTAAGAGTTTTTAAGTTTTTTTCCCTGAGAAGCAGACGCTGAAGAGTCACCAAAATGTAACTGAAATCTTTTTCTTGTAAACACTAATTTTTAGAGAGTATTTTTAAAATTCAGAACTGAAGGTATAAGCATGTCCACATTAACCAAACCGGAAGTTTCTTCACAAAGCAAACCAACAAATGTGATAAAAAAAAGTATGAGTATTATTGCTTTTTACAAACAGAAATTGATGTTATTATAATGTAGTTAAGTCAGATTCCCTCTTGATAGCCTTGACATATGAAGGGAAGTACACAAAATTATCAAATGTCACAGAAGCGGCGGCTTGAGGCCAGAGGGTGGGAGGGAGACACATAGACAAAAGGAAATAGCAAAGGGAGGACATACACGGTTAAAGCAAAAAATGCTTAGAATGCACTTGGTCCAGCCCGTGACCTACTATCATCTACTTAATAAAGCCAAAAAATTTAACAGTTGAAGCAAACTGATCATTGTGAACAGGGGATTCAAGCCCTGCATTCGATGTGAGGTCTGCCAGAAAGAAAAAGAGCTAAACTAGAAAAAGATCTAAACAGCAAATAGCAGGGTGCGTGCGTGTGTATGGGGAGGTGGGGTGGGGAATTAAGGCTAACTGTACTCAAGTCTCAGCACTAAAGCAATTCCGCGCGTACTACAGAAGCAGGGCAGTCGCAGAGAGGGAAGCAGGGATCATGGATTCTCCCCCAGCGATTCAGGAACCTTGGAGCGCCGGGGGGGTCGGGTGACCGGCGTCGCGCCCCTAGAACAGGCGCGGAGCGGATCCTATTAACTCTCTGGGCCGGGACTTGGGACCGCGAGCTCCCGAAAGGAGCGCGCACGGAGGTGCGGCGGCGAGGAGCGCTCCCCTCCGCGGGAGGGAGAAGGGAGGCGAGGGGCGGCACCGCATCCCGGTCCCCACCCCAGGCGCATCAATTACCCGTGAGGTTCCTCAGCACCGTCCCATGGGCCCAGAGGCTCAGGACCTGCTGCACCGACAGGTTGATCATGGAGTGGTCGCCCCCCTCCGCCTTCATCTTCCCCGGGGGTCGCCCGCCGCCTTCTCCTCGGGCACCGGGCGGCGGCTGCGAGGCTCCGGGGCCGCGGCGGGT